CTGAGAGACTCTGTGAACTGTATCATTCAACATTTACTCAGTAGTTTCCAATCTATGGCCTAAGTTCTGAAGACCTTGTCTTTAGTAATTTGTGTTGTGGCTTTGTCAAGAAAATCAGAAAAACTTCCTATGAGGATGGAGTCCCTGAAGATTTATGCTGTGTGGGTGGAGGCAGGAGGAACCAGGGGAGCTGACTGAGTCATTGGGGGTGATTTACTAACCTAAACACACACACACACCAGGTGTGTGTGATTTTCACACAGCAAAACGTATTTATCAACCAAAAAGTCTCTAAAAGCATATTTCCACTAATGCCATATATGGAAAAATCATGCACATGATGCATATATAATGCTGCTTCACAGTTTAGACAAAAATGGTTAGCTCATGCATTTACATTCCTGCATTCATCAACGCAAGCAACATAACATAGAGCTAATTTACACCACATTACCTTGCAATTAATTGCAGGGCTTCCCACAACACACCTGCTGGGTGTGTACACACTACAAAGGTGTTTCGATTCCTCCCATAGATCATGCTGGGAGGGAACACACTACAGAGGTGTATACACGTTCGTGGTGTGTTTAAAAGGTTAGTAAATCAACCCCATTATGTTGATTATTTTGCTGGCTGAGAAGTACTTCTAGCATTTATTTGTCAATAAAAAGAAAGGGTGAGGCTGAACCTGCTAAATCAACTGAGGCCTGTGAATGAAATTACATCAGGCATATTAGTTAATCCTGAGGTAAGGATATTTTACTGTCCATAAGAGGAGAGGGATTGAGATCTACATTCCCATTTACTGCCCTTCCTCAATGTGTTCTAGGCTCTCAATGGCATAGCCATGTTGTACTCTTGCTGTTGTTTGCTCAAGGCAACAACCTTCATGTTGGATCTGCGTGTCTCCAGCTTAAGGCGAGTGGTAGCCAGATCTCAGGGTTTCCCCATGCGTTTTAATTGCCTATTTGTCTCTTGGTTAAAGATAGTGGGTTAAACCTCCTGCCTGTTTAATAATGAAGATGCCACTCGAACTATTATTGGCAAAGGGATGCAGAGTGGTTCATTGCACATCTGCCATCCTGCACATGTGCACTCAGCACTGTGGATTTTATAAAGCGAGTGCACATCAGGATCGTTTTTTGTTTAAACTTGTTTTATGTACAGCATCTACAGAACTGAGAGATAGTAGGGAGGAGAATAAATCGCTATTCTGACTTACCTTGCTGTATGTGTGTAATTTGTGCTTGAGCTACTAAGTTATGTAAACATTCTTTTTTCAGCAGAGCAGTTAAGATTGTGAATCAAAGATAATTTAATAGAGCTATATGAGCATGCTAGAGGTACAGCACCCAAGTACTCTTGAGTGGTTTCAAATGTAAAAAACAGATGTTGGTACATCAAGCTTTGTTTGTGGTCCCTAGGTGTAATAAAGCAAATAATTAGGGGAAATAAGGAAGAAATGTAGAAGTCAGTAAACAGATATTTTGCTGTTGATATTATCATAAGGTAAGATTGTTTTCTACTTGGCAGGTCAGTACTTCCCTCCATTAGTGAGGCAAAGACTAACTAATGGAACTATATGGACAAGCAGGAGGTCCAGCATCCAAGCACACATAAGTAATTACAAAAGTGAAAAATAAATGTTGGGACATTAAGCTTTATGTATTTTCCCAGGCGTAATTGAGTAAATAAATAGGGGTAATAAGACCAAACGTTTATAAAGAGTAGACAAATACTGTATCAAGGAGTCAGAAGGGATACTTATAGGTTAAGAGGGAATCAATCCACCCCCAAGAATAAGTGTATTTAAACCATAGAGTCTTTATCCCCAGAATTTTCTCCTGAGCATTTTTTAAGATGGTCATGAGTAGGGATGTTCAGATACCAGTTCAGATATTACTATTATTATATAGGATTTAGATATCAGTGCCGATACTTGGCATTTTCACAAGAACTACCAGTGTTGCAGGGGTTGCAGCTGGGACCTAACTCTGGCGCTACACCACTGTTTGGTTTTTAGCAGATTGCCGTTTTAGTAGTTATAAGTCCTAGTATATATGTCTAGACCTGTAGCTCTACAAAGCAACAGCTGGAGAGTCGCTTGTTGACTAAAGCTCCATGCAAGCATTGTATACTACATGTCCCTTAGGTGATGAAAGATTAATGAATACCAGGTCTCTGAAAATGTCCACAGTGAGGATGACATTTGTTGTGACCTACATTACACACTTCTGACCAGACTGCATAGACGAATAATCAATTAGAGTCAGGGGCGACCTCACTATGAGGGATCTAATCCTAAACTATAACTCCTGTGCGCATAAATGCTAAATACATCTTTTATTTTAGTACTGTTACCATGCACATATAAAAAACAATATCCTCTAGTGAACACTATAAGTCATTGAAATAAAAAACCGCTAATCAGGGGCATATATGTTATCTTATTAGCAGATGTCTTGGCCTAAGAAAGAGATAGAGCTACTGAATTTCTGAAAGCAAAAGCTGTCAACAATAGGTACTTTACGGTACTGTGTATACTGGTACTCCAATAGTCCATCACCTTCTATTAAACTCACTTTTCTAATTTATTATTTCAAAACTTGATAACAACTAGTGAATAAAGGAATTAAAAAAATGATTAAAAGGAAATAATACAAAATGAATTGTATTTTTCTGCCTTACATATTTGCTTAGTTTTTTTTACTCTACGGCATATACATTTCTATGTGTCAGATGACAGTAATTGGCAGAGCCCTGAGGGTGGTATAGGAGTTTTTAGGTAAACTCATCCAAGTGAAATACATGCAATGTAACATAATCTTAGCAATAACAGCATACCCCCATGTTGTCCCTCATTTGGAGGGACTGTCCCTCTTTTGGAACCAAATCCTCCTGTCCCTTTTTCTTCCTTTCTTTGGTCTGATGTATGGCTCTCTTTGAAAATGTTCAACTGCCAAAAGGGTTGTTATGCATGAAAACCTTCATCCTTATCCCATTTGCAATTTTAAAAGCCAGTATAAAGGAAAAGTAATGGTGAAAAACAACAATTTGGGGTTTTACCAATCATTTTTGGCATGTCCCTATGTCCCATCTCAGAAAGCTGTGAGGTATGATAACATGAATCTTTGGTGGTTGCGGAAACTACAAGTCTCAGCCGCCGACTAGAAAAATCATGCAGAATCTTTAAGTTTTTCTACTGCCATAGACCTTCTTGTTGCCCACACATTCTAATAGAAGATAAATGAATGGTTTTCATCCAAGCCTACTAAAATCTACAGACTTGGAGAACAGCCAGGATGTCTGTGGGGAAGCACTAACTAGAGCAGACAAAAAGATCATTCGGAATTTTTCAGTCAACAGCTTACTGTTTCTCTAAAATAAGATTGGCGGTGTGTCTGTAGGACATATATAATATATATATATATATGTATATATATAATAGGCACGTTACATGTATACATGTCACCAGAAAGATAAACATCAGATTATTTTCAGCATTCAACCACTGTGTGATGTAGGGTACCTTTTATCTCTAGCCCTTTCAAAGACTTATTTGAAGACTGTCTCATCCTTTTTATGACCTGTTAAAGTCTGATTGTTAGTCAGTGGGACTGCCTTTGTAATGAGGGTAGAGATTAATTACTTAGAAATAATTCCTTGCAGATTGATTTGGAAACAAAGAGGCAGAGCGCAGTTTTTTAAAGCAATTTACAAAGCATTTCAGGAGTTGTACAGCAATCTCACGATTCAGCGACTGGATGAGAAGTGAAAGGGATCATTAATTCCCAGAGATTTCCTTACTGAAAGACGGCAACCTGACCCATTCCCAACCCCACGGTAGATGGCAGATTAACCCTTCACACCAGCGGATCTCTGGCTATGATAGATGTGCTGCCAGTCAATCCAGAACAGTAAATGTGTCTTTTTCAGCTGCTTGAAAAAATGCCTTGTTTAGTCATACAGACTGGTTGGAATATGGAAATTCAAGATACCATGACTGAATGCTTCACAGAATAAGAAGCAGGAAATGTGCCCCTATTTGACTTTAAAAGGGTTAATCAAACTTTTGCCACCACATACCATGCCATTTAGACATGCAATGTGTGCAGGTAATCGATCACTGATCACCTGCAGTTAACCCCTTGTGTGCTCACAAAAGTATGCAGTTCTGCTTTTTAAACCATACCATGGATGAAGGATGATGCAGATTTTATTATGTAAGACATTTAACACATCCAGAGTATATTTAGATATATAGTATGTATGATGTTTATCTGCCCCATTGTGTTATGTGGAGCAGTAAGAATCTGAAATCAGAATAAAAAAAGACCCTTATTTATATAGTGAAAACGCAGTAACACTTTCTAATCTATATTTTTGGTGGTTTTAACTGTTTAAATCTAAAGCTAAAATCTGGTTGGTTGCCAGAGGACACTGCACATCCCTTTATTAGATAAGTGCTATTTGCCAAGAATTCTCCAAATGAGACTAGATATTGCAGTCTGTACAAAAAGCATATTTCCATTCTGCTGGTCACATTAGTAGCCATGTGTTTAACACATTCCGCTATGGTGCCTGGACTCCCTTCACTTGTAACCCTTAGCCTGTTGTAGTCACTTGGTTTGGCTTAACCAGGGTCCCTCTGCCTCCATTTCCTGCCTGCATCTACCCAATGCAGAATAGGCACAGCATGACCAAGTGCCACTCTTCTCTCTGCCCACTGATTTACCCAAAATCTAATAGCTCATTCCTGTTTTGTAATGTGAGCTTTGCACGTTTTATTCCAATTCACATACAAGTGTATGCTAGCTTCATGAAATGCATTGATAACAACTGGCCTGTGCCTTGCATTGGACTGCATGCAGTAGATGCCTATGGCATTGGTCTGCCTGGGAACAAAATGTATTAAGGGTCTCCCCCCCCCCCAACATGCCACCACTGTAAATCTGTACACCTTGTGCAGTAACATTATATAGCAAATGCTGGTCACTTACAACTCCACGATTTATATCCTCAGCTGTTGGGGTTGGTGCTGCCATAGTTTCCCGCAAAGCAATCAAAAGACCGATCAGAAACATCTCCCGGGGCCAACAACTCTCTTTGGTGGCAATCCACAACATTCCTCAGCCCTGAGTGAATGAAGGAGACATTCATATGCGCGCCCTGCTCACATCTCCTGTTCACCATCAGCAGCTCACACAGATCACTCCGGCTCTGCGCACAGTACATCGGTATGCCATCATATATCCACCACAAGCGCTGACCGCGTTCAGGGAAGTTTGGGAGCTGCAGCACAACAGGTCAGAGCGGTAGAGTTCAGCACCTAGGACGGTCAGCACCTAGGACAGCGCCACACACGTGGAGGCACAAAGCCTGTGGCGGGCGGGGAGGGGTGGGGGGCGAACTCCTGTATTATATGTGCCCGATCACTACACACAGCCAGCTCTGTCTATCCACATCTGTAGGATGGTGCTGCTAGTGTACGGAGTTGGGGATGATGAGGGAGGAGCGGAGTGTGGGAAGTGAATCTCTGCAACCTATAACTTGCAAGTGGCCGGCATCTGGGAGAGGCTTG